ATAAACATAAATATGAACCCAGTAAATAAGTACAAATAAATGGAGACAATAGAACAGGGACGGTAGGCACACTGGTGCACTTATGCATGCCCTCTTACAGACTTCTTAGGAATGGGGTGAGGTCAACAATAGACAGTCTTAGGTTAAAATTATGGGGGTTTGGGGATGTAACAACAGAGTCAGGTAGGGCATTCCAGGCATTGACCCCTCTGTTACTGAAGTCATATTTTCTGCAATTGAATTTGGAGGGTTTACCTTGAGTTTGTATCTATTGTTTGCTCATCTATTATTGTGGTTGAAGCTGAAGTAGTCATTGACAGGTAATCTACAAAGAAACATCTTCTTAATATCTTTTTTTAAACTGCTAGGGAGGATTCCCATTCAGCAATCGGGACAACAACTGGATAGTTAGTGACGGCACTGCTGAAGCAATAAGAGCATTGATGTTACTTGAAGAACAATGTCCTTTCATAGAAGATCACATAGCTCCACAACGTATCTTTGATGCTGTCAATGTGGTGGGTGCATGGAACCCCAAAGAGAAAACATGGCATTATGGTTAATGAGGTTTCTGAGGGCTGGAGGGAGGTGATAAAACATGCATTTATTTTGGAGAATCTCATTCCTCAGGAGTTGGTGATAAATGACAAATTTGTCCAAGAAGGGATGGGAGAAAAAGTTTGGTCCATACGCAAACCCCACACACTTCCAGTAAACATGTGGGGATGGATCAGGACCAAATTTTGTGTGTCAAATTTGTACACAATTTGGGAAACACTTTTTTCCATGTTAAAATTTTGCATGGCAATCTCAAAGCATTTAAAATGTATCAAATATCGTGTTTCCTCAAAAATAAGGCAGGGTATTATTTTCTTTTGACCCCCCCAAAATACACATGGCCTTATTTTCGGGGAGGTCTTATTATTTTTAAAGTGCAGGTGATGGCGAGCATGGTCACCTCATGGCTGCTGCTGTCTTGCAATATTTTCAGGAAGAGCTTATTTTAGCGCATGCGCTCAAAAGTCTGATTGGGCTTATTATCCGGGGAGGTCTTATTTTGGGGGAAACAGGGTAATAAAAAAAACTTATAAAGAAAATTGCATGGGAAAAAAAGCAGTCTTTTGAAAGAACAGGCACAAAAATGGATAGTCGAAAAAGAAGGTTAAAAATATAAATGTACAGATTTGGAAACCTGGGGAGAATAAACTATATCCAACAGATTCAGTTGTCTCAAAGTTAAAGGATCAAAGTTGCAGTCAGACTAAAAAAGTTCTTAATTTTCTGAGAGTCAAACTGAATACATGCTGATAAACAGCATCGACAATAATAAGTTAGTCTGATTCATTCAATTATCTTATATTGTCAATATATTAATATATATGTAGTAAAAATAAATTTTAATAATTAATTAATTATTTATAAAAATGAAACAGATTCTGTTCTGAACTCTCATTTGGCTTTAGTCAATAGCAAGAGAACAGTTAATCTGAGACCATGTTAGGAGTTTCTGTTCTTTTAATCTTCATTTATCTGACATGGTTATGACATAAGATGAGAATGTGAGAAAAATCTACGTTATATTTTTCTTTTCTGCATGAAGAAAGGCAATTGAAAAAATGGTCAAGAACACATAATAGTAACTGAGGAAAAGTATCATGGAAAGCAGAACTAAATTTCTGTTTGCGGCATACTGTTCAAATTAGAAGTGCTGTGAAAAATAGAATTTGATAGCCATGAATAAATATTTGTATGAACTGTTTTCTGAGCATATTTTTCTATTGGACATAGCATGCATTTCGACTGAGACAGACCTTATCAGAACTTGGGGCATCAAAAACTGGCTTTGGTTTTCAAATGATTGACATGGAACAATGGGTATTTTTAGAGGTGCATTACTATTAATATAATTACACTTGAGCACTTAAGAGCACCCAGATAGTCCCCATTTAGTAACCACAACTTGGACCAGCAACTCACTGAGTGAAACCATAGTTGTGCTTATGATCTTATTTCAGTTTTCCTTTTCTTTATAGACAGGATAGACACTACTGCAATAAGTAGACACTACTTATAGACACTACTGCAACGTGCTCTACATGGGGCAGCCCTTGAAGA